TTTTTTTTTTTAGATCTGACTGTTTATGTGCTCTTTTCATTCAAACATAACAAAGCCTGAGCTGTACGCACAGTTGTGTCTGCTCTGTGCTTTGGCTTTAGATGGAAATCAGCTGTTTGTCCAAACACCACTGTGGTTCAGCTTTTTTATTTGGTATCTACTGACACTACCAATGGACCATTTTGATCTTCTCTGGGATCTTTAGTCAAAAACAAGGCGTCAGACTAACTTTGGTTAAGACAAAAGTCTAGTTTGTATTTCAAACATAAGAGCTCTGCAGCAAGCAGAGCACGGAGAGTTCATCTGAAACTGAGTCCAGTTCTTTCAAACTTCAAAGGTTCTTTGTTACAAAATGAACTTAAACTGTCTCCTGATAGTTTCAGATAAGCATGTTGTCTTTACATGATTGCTGTTACAGCTTGTTACAAACCCCTGAAAGGAGCCGTCCTGACTCGCACTTTTAGTGCTTGAATAAAAAACAGTCAGCTTTATACGTTTAGTTAGCTGCTTCTCCAAGTTAAGATTTGAAAGCCCGTCCCAGTTTTCATGAGAGGAATAATATAAACAACACAATTACAATTTATTTTTTCAAAGGTTTAAACAGAATATTTTTTAACATTTAAATTGTAATTGTTTATCCACAGTTCCAGCTCATTTGTAAATATAAAATAGTTTTGGTTTCTAAATCTCATCCTAATATTATACACCTACACATCATCACCATGCAACCTTACGATCTGATGACTAAAAAGATCCCACGAGTGTCTGGAGATTAAAGTTTTACTTTAAAGTTTTTTGTTGAGATAACGTGTGTGCCTCCGTTTCTGTTCGACCCTGATCATCCAGCATTGTTGAGCAAGGATATGCCCCGTTCCTCATTTCTTAGTTTCCTGCATGTTTGTCTTGTTCACACATTTTAAGATAATCAAACATAATGAAATATTAGACAATATTCAGTCCTGCTGCCTGTGGTTAAGCTTACTGAGTGACCTGATGGCTGGACATGGTCAGAGTTCATGGTTGAAACAATTGCAGTCGTCCAGGTCCTGAAGCAGCAGAGCAGCCATGGACATTACTCCGTCCTCGTCTTGTTATATTAATATATCATTGTTTAATATCACATGTTACCATATATTATCATATTCAATGCGTTAGTTTTTTGATAATATTCTGTGTAAAACTATCTTTGATCATCAAGGTGTTTTTGGATAAATGTGAGTAAAATTCGTTTGGTCTGAAACGTGTAACAAATACACACCAAAGCACTGAAATACTTGCATGTGGTTTATCTGCAGTACCTGTAAAATCCCATTGAAAAATGTTGTGACGGGTTTTTATAGAACTGAAAGCGATGATGTGATGACAGCCTTACTCATCTGCTTGTCTTAATAGGAAGAACATACTTCTCACATTGTTAGCGTCGGGCTTTGTTTGGTTCATAACTGAATTAGCTCTTGGCTAGCAGCCGCATACACCACTTTACAAGCTTTTCCATCTGTGTGTTGGTTACATTGCTTTAGACCACATTAGGAGCACTGCTGGCTTGGTGTTACAGGGTGGGGGCATCATATAATTGAAAACCAACAGCTTAACCAAGATTTTTGTTACGTCTCTCAAACTCTCGTTTATTTCTGTTCATTTATCAGGTCGACATCTTTCAGAAGGATCTGTTGTTGATCCCCATCCATCTTGAGGTCCACTGGTCGCTGGTCAGTGTTGACATTCCTCGTCGAGCCATCACCTACTTTGACTCTCAGAGGACTTTGAACAGGCGTTGCCCAAAGGTAGGGATCAGGCAGCTTTTGGAAAAGGAATGAGTGGATGATTGAACGGTTTTTGAAGAAAGGTCAGTGGGTATAGATGCTTATTCTGTCAAAATGATTAATAGTAGCAAATAAGCAGCTGCGTGATATTTCTGGTAGCTAATATTGTTGCTTTTTTTTTAAAAACGTATTTTTTTAACACTGCAGATTTGTTGTAAAAGGCCAAAGTTTTTGTAACCTCTTCAGTTGGGTTGTGTTAAACCCAAATGTTCGGTCCAGAGCTGCTCCTCTGTCTGTCCTGCCAGTGATTCAGTTGCTGATAGGAGAGGGCGGGCTGTCACACCTATAGTGTATCCATGAACCTACTGCTCAAAGTCAGAATCTCTGTTTTTGGAAACAGGTGTCTCAGTCTCTTTGAACGTGTTCATTTTGATTCCAGCACATTTACAAATACCTGCAAGCTGAAGCCATCAAAAAAGACCAGCAAGACTTCCTGACAGGATGGACCGGCTTTTTCAAAATGGTAACACGACTTTTCTTTATAACACAACCAAAGCTCTGGTGAGACTTTGAGTAAAAATCAAACGAGAAGTAGACTTTAGTTGAAATGGTACCATTGCTAATGTATTTGTAATGTTGCAGAATGTGGGCCGCCAGAACAATGACAGTGACTGTGGGGCTTTTGTGTTACAGGTGAGTTTTCTACAGTGTGCATGAGGGCTGGCTGATATGAGGAAACTCTAATATTGTTTGGCTATATCGCGATATGTCTTGAGCAGCAAAGGGGGTGGGCTGCAGTGTGAGCCTCAGTGAGGTCGGGTTTTTTATGTAAATACCAACATGTGTGGTATCCACAGAAACTTTCAAGTCTCAGCCACAAGCTCATAGAAACCATTTCTGCAAACACCAAACGGCCAACACAACAATTAAAAAGGCAGTTATGTGCCTAAACACAAACAACAAAGCCACACTCAGCTTCATGTAACCCAGCAAACGTCACATTGTCTAACATCAAAGGTTTCGTCACTCTCCAACCAAAACGATCTGAGCCAGCAGCAAAAGAAGGCCACAAATATGCTTCAGGAACGATAAACAATGACTGTTTCCTTCAACAGAGGCCGTCGTAGCTCGAATCACAGCTGGTGTATTTAACGTTTCCTTTGGTGTGTGGGGAGATGTTGACATGCTGAGTTCATTCATGTTGTTCGACAACCTCCTCGTGAAATCCAGACGACAGCGAGTCCGAAACTCCCGCTGTCACCATATTTCTCCCACCTGCTAGCATATAAACACGCATGCTCAGCGTAGTGTGGCAGGTAGAACATTTTCCAGCTAGGAGGGGGGATTGATGATGCATTTGCAGCGTGCGGGAACCTACACTCGATGGTTACGATAAAACCATTTTAACCATCGTACGTATCAAATCTACTCGATATATCGCCCAGCCCTGATATAAACACGAACTCTCGTTGTTGAGAGCTAGCCATGGACAATTTGGATTAGTCTGTTCCACTTCTTTATAGCATTTATGAGGGAAACATGTACCTACTGCATAGATGGTAATTACCACACATCAGATTGTTTTAAATGTGTTTCAGTATCTGACCTTTCCTTATCTGCTATCCTGCAGTACTGCAAGTGTCTGGCACTCGGGCAGCAGTTCAACTTTGGGCAGCAAGACATGCCCCGCCTCAGAAGACAGATGTACAAAGAACTGTGTCACTGCAAGCTTATGGTGTGACCCTTCATTTCCATCGTTTGTGGCCAGCTACACCTGCTCCGTCCCTGAAGTCTAACAGGATGGAGGGACAGTGTTAAAACAAGAGGAAAATGGGAGCAAGTGACTGGGGGAAAATAAACATTACAAACCTAACTTTTTCTCTTCCACCATGCAGAGAAATTCTTCTAGATGCGAACATTGTTTGACTTTATTTTTTCAGGTTCTGCTTCCCTCGGTTTGTTTGAAAAACACTGATTTAAATATCTGTCATAGTTCTTTGTGGTTGTGAGAGGCCAAGACTAGCTGTCTTATTTTGGGGATGTGCTAGTTATCCGTGTAAAGATAGTCCACTAGTTTTCTGGTTGGAGAGGGAGCACTGAGGTACGGAAAAGCCTGCGTCCAGGAGGTCTGAAGGGAAGTCCCACAGTGGAGTGTGTTTAGAGGGCTGCAGTGACTTTTCCATCCAGCCAGTCATTACTTGACATCTTTGCAAATGAAACGTACCCCATGCAATGGCCACCGTTGTGGACGAGCTGTTCAGCACAAAATGTTTGCCAGTGTATTACAGTGTGAAACTTCCATGTACAATATTTTTAACCGTTTCCTGCGGTCTGCTCAGCTGGAGTTTAGTGGGAATCCATGGTTATGTTGGCAGGTAAAACTTTTTTCTGGTGAATCTCAGGGAAAGTTGGATTTCTGCAGCATCCATGAGTCCCGCCTCATGCTGGCCCACACAGTAGAAACTTTCCCCCTCGATCGCTTTCAAGTCATAAACCTTGAAAGCGATTGAACTGAAATGGCTCAAAGAAGTATATTTACAATGCATTTAATTTTTAATGTGTTTCAATCTGTCAGTAATTGTGGTAACATGTTTGAGTTTCATAAAAGATCAAGAAAAAAGACGATTTGTTTTTTTTTTCTTGTTATTTTTTTTGTTTTTGTTTAGATTTTCTGGTTAGTATAAAAGCCATTTTGTTGAGGACCACAAATACACACCAGGCATCTGTCCACAGTGGAGATACAGTGCTCTCTTATTCTTTTTATAACAAAAGAAAACTTGTGAATAGTTGTTTTTGGCTTTGCTTTTTTTTTTTCCAAGAAGGAGCTGATGCAAGAGAGCTGTTTTATATATCTTCTACAATACGTTATGACTGCTAAAAATAAAAATATGTGGCAAACGTGTGTGTGTGTGTGTGAAGGTTTTCACTTGTCCACATCATAGTAATGGAAGGACTACGTTCAGTTTCTTCAAGACGTTTCGTCTGAGAATCAGTCCCAGGTTTTAAGCCCTGTTGTCCCTAAGAGGGCCGTTGACCCCCTATTGATTCTCTACATAATCACATGAGCCAAGGTGTGAAAGTGGGGTGGGTCACACTCAGCCAAGGTTTCAGGTGAACCCATTGCCCCCATCATGTGACTTACTGAAGTCAAAAGGCCCAGGATGTGTGTTAAGGCGTCTGGGAAGGATCTCAAAGCTGTAACGTAGATGGCAGACGCTGTCGGTGTGAGACACGTCTGTTCAAAGAGGGTCGTTCACTCCTCTTTCAAACCTTTGTCCAAAATGTGGACATTAGCATTTTGAAAGAGTGTGTTTAACCGGCACGCAGATGTAGACAGCTATGCAGTCTCCATCAGAACCACTGTTTCTTCCTGCAAACAGGGAACACCCCATAAGCTCTGCAGATGTAATTTAGTCCTAGTCAAACTTTCTAGTCACAAACAGCTTGTGGGAGATTGAACTGAAATGACCTGTTGGCTCAAAGAACTATATTTACATTGCATTTAATTTTTTCCTGTCTCTGTCAGTGATTGTGGTAATATGTTTGGGTTTCATGAAAAGTTAAAGTAGTTAGAGGTCTTCTTGGGTCATTTCTTCATCACATTATGGTTTGTTCCTCGTAATAGTGATCACAGTTCTTACTGTCTGCTTTGAGCTTCCGTGCTCTGTGGCTGCACCAAACCAGACTCTTTCTCTGGGGAAGCTGGGGGTGCACAGCTGACAGCCTTGAACATGTCGCTAAACTAACTGCATCTAGATATTATAGGATATCATTCAGTCCCATATTGATTGCATCATCCACAAAGTACAAAGGGGGCCTTACGGTGACTACTACCAGGATGTGGTGGGTGAGGGGTGTGAATGCGTGCCTCATTAACCTGCAGTATCAGGTATTCAGCCAGCTCTTTGCAGAGGGGATGGTTGCAGACCCTTTCACACTGATACCTGCTGTAATGGGCGCTTCGATCACTGCCACAACACCTTTTCACAGTCCCTTTCTAACGGCTGTGAAAGTGAGGAAAGCCACTGCAGTATTTTTTTGTGATGGGTGTCGACACTCAGACGATACATAAGCACTGAGAGAACAAGTCGTAACCAAAACCCAAGTGCTTTTTTGTTTTTGCTGCCCACATGGTATGAAGTCCAAATCGGCCCCATACAGAAAAGCAATACCTGATGAGGGAATCCACAAAGAAAAAGCATCAGTCTGTGTAGAAAGTGAATATTAGTACAGTGGTACAATCATCTGATGATCTGGTGAATTTGTAAGTTTGCTCACAAAGAAATGAGCAGCCTAGTTGTTTATGGTAGTTTAATTTTAATGGAGACAGAATATTAGATCAAGAAATAAAAAACACATTACATGAAAGTAATAAAACCCCATTTCAGAGCAAATATCTGAATGATTCTCAGCACATGTAGAGACTAGAAAGACACGATGGGTTCTTCATATATATGATAACACTTAAAAAGTTCTAAACCAGGTACAGATGCCACATTATTGTCACTGGGACAATGTTCAGTTTAATTTCATGGTGTCATTTTGTGGTTATGGTTTTTTTTAAGCATTAAAATGTGCCATTATAGACATTAGTTTTTCAAGCTTTATTTATTTATTTACATTTATGGAGCTAACCTACTGCACTGTCATTAGATTTGTCCATTATCCAGATTCAGCACGAAATTGAGATAATCAACAGAAATAGTTTTTTTTTAACTCTTTCCCGTGATAGAGTATGAGTGAATGTAAAGAGCAGGGTGTTGATGCATATTACACAGGAGCCTCATTTCTGATAGGCTGTAAATACTCGACGTAATGCTGGAACATTAACACGTTACATGACCCGAATTAAAAATTGTGTTTATTTTTAATTTTTAAAAATTGTGTTTATTTTTAATTTTTAAAAATTGTGTTTATTTTTAATTCGGCGTTTTTTAATGTCTGAACAAAGCAGCGGGGACACACCTGGGCAGGCGGACTGAAGAAACCCGGTTGCGTCACCAACGGATTCCGTAAAAACTGAAACCCCGCCTCTTTGGCTAAAGAACTCGGGCACGAGCGTGAATTACGAGCATACTGTAAACGGAAACGGTCCGCCCCGTGGGTCTGCTTACTTTTACGTGACGTAGAGCTCGTCCAATCGCAAGTGCCTGTGGGCGGGACCACAGCTAAGTGACGGTGAGCTTTTACAATGAGAAAGCCTCTTTGTGCGCATAACCTATATAAGAGATTTCTGCTGCGGATTCTTTCTTTGAAATAATGTCGGCTGAATATGATAACAGGTAAGGAGGGCTACTTATGCTCGCATCAAGTGTGAGTTCTAGGGCGTATTTTCTTCTTCAATCCGTCATATTTTACTTGATGTTCTCAAGAATGCAGATTTTTAACCGAGTTTTGTAGTCGAGTAACATTCGGGGACTTTTTGTCTTAGATGAACATTAGGGCTCTGCGCGTTTCAGGAGACGAGTGTGAAATAAGATTGAATGTTTTAGATCGTTAAAGTCATGCTAGTCAGAAGTTATATTAGTCTTAATGCTTCAGATGTGAATACGGACTGCGGTCGTTATCGGCATCCGGCGACAGCACGTGAACAAGCCTGATGTAGGCCTTTAAAAATTCTTCCTCTTTTCATTTGTAGTAACTTGGTATTGAAGCCAAAACATCGGAACTACGATATTTTCGGGTGTAATACACGTAACGAACCTTATTTTGTCTGTAAAGGTGAATTAATGCCGTTTCGTGCTGTTCGATGGAGTCACATGGTCTTAGTACGGATGGTCGGCGTTTTAAACAAAGGCCGCTTTAAGGCCGCTGAAAATGGTCGTTTTTCCGCTTACACACGCTGCATGTGGTGGAGCTGTGTGCTGCCTCCATAAAGCGCTGTCCCTTACGTGTCTAAATGAACAATAGCTTTCGCCGACTTTCGCCGACAGTTACAGACTAGCAGGCCCCGTTGCTAGCAGCTAATGCGGAGCAGGCCGCGGCGGAAAGCCGCGAAGCTTCTCCTGCCGCTTTCGTCATAGCATCGCGGACAACTAAATGATCCGAACGCTTTGAACACAAAGATGTCGGCGTTTGTCGACTAGCTGGCCACATTCGACGTGGCTGTGGCTCAGTTTCCTCCGTGAAGCGTCCACCCGCCCCTGTCTTTTCCTCCCCTGAATGGAGAAACGACCATCTTGATTGTATGTAGCAAAAATGGCGGCCTCTCCACAAGGCCGCGCGTCACAGCACAAGGGGCGAAGGCTTCTTTTTTCATGCCAAGTTTGGGAAGAATGATATAACGGCGAGCCTGGTAATGATTATATCAGCACGTTTACTTAAAGGGGGATATTTTTGTACCACAGATTCTTTTTATTCTCATTATTCGTGGGCAGAGAGGATTTAGTTCATTAAGGTCATTTAGAAGTGCAGCTTGAGAGGAGAGATAACTGAGTTTCTGTCATTCACAGAGACAATGGCCCTGAAGGCATGGAGCCAGATGGGATCATTGAGGTAAGTCTCCTGTGAAACTCCCACCAACACTGACGTTCTTCACAGCACAGGCACAGCATGTAATGAACTGACAATAAACCGGTGCTCTTTCTAACCTTTCCAGAGCAATTGGAACCAGATTGTGGATAGTTTTGATGAGATGAGTCTACGTGAGACCCTGCTCAGGGGAATTTATGCCTATGGTTTTGAGAAACCTTCAGCTATCCAGCAAAGGGCCATTATGCCTTGTATCAAGGGTAAGCGTGCTTCAATATGTAATGATGTGTTTCTAACACTTAGCAGTTAACAACCCCAAGAATTCCCTGGATGCTAAATTGCACGTGTTTTAATTTCAGGTTATGATGTGATTGCTCAGGCCCAATCTGGCACTGGGAAGACTGCCACCTTTGCCATTTCCATCCTTCAGCAGATTGATGTGGAGCTGAAAGGCACTCAGGCTCTGGTCTTGGCTCCCACTAGGGAGCTGGCTCAGCAGGTAGATTTCCACACCCGCCCTCTTACACTAGTGACATATTGTGCTATTGTTTCTTAAGGATCTCTCATGTAGCCTTTTGCATGGCTTAACGTGTGGTCTTTGACTTTCTTTCAGATTCAGAAAGTGGTCCTTGCCCTGGGCGACTACATGGGAGCCAGCTGCTATGCCTGCATTGGAGGGACCAACATCCGCAGTGAGGTCCAGAAACTGCAGGCTGAAGCCCCACACATCGTGGTGGGAACTCCCGGACGCGTCTTTGACATGCTAACTCGCAAAAACCTTTGTAAGTCTTCCTGAGAAGGAGTTAAATCAGGCTTAGTTTGAAATGTGTGACCACAAAGAAAGAAATGAACACGAGTCTCTGGTGACTTTGATCACCTCAGAGGTCAGTTATTGTATAATGCTGTATAATGATGAAACCCATGCGTGTCAGCTGACACTGTAAGCCCCTGCTGTGGTGTAGCTGTGGTCGGCGTTCTGCTGGCTCGAGCTTTCATTACAACAGAGGTCCAGAGGCATGATCATACGTTCATTACTTCTGAATACGGCACCTTTACACCTGAAGACGCTTCATTACCGAAACCTCATTAGTGGCACGTGATTCCTAAATCCAACATGAATCAGTTGTATCGGTGTGCAGATGTATGGCTGTGTTATGTGCCCGTATGTGTAACATGGTGGTTCCCTTTTTGCAGCTTCTAAATACATCAAAATGTTCGTGTTGGACGAGGCTGACGAGATGCTTAGTCGAGGATTCAAGGATCAGATCTACGAGATCTTCCAGAAGCTGTCGAGCAACATCCAGGTTAGTACTCTGGTGTCGGCGCCGTAACGGCCGAGCCAAAGATCCTTGCTTGAAATATGAACTCTGCTTGTAGCTGACGGACATCTCTGTAAATCTTTTTAAGGTTGTCCTACTGTCTGCCACCATG